GTTGACAGAGGCCGGCAATCAGTAGAAGCTCCTGGGATGTTGTCTACAATTCAGAATTTGTTGTGATAAACGGCACTCAATTAAACTTGCGTCTTTTGTTTTCTTAGGACGTAGCTGTCCAGCGACCTTTCCAGGCACTTGGTAAAGGCAGACTGAAGGTGAAGACTTCGCTCCACGAAGTCGTCAACATTGTGCCCACCAAGGCATGTGAGGTAGGAGGTCTAACGCAAGGGGGAGTTATAAATTGGGTAGCATACCAACTGGTTTCGGAAGCTATTGTCCAGTATTTGGAAATAACTTTCCAGTGGCTCTCTGTGACATCGATTGTGGACGGCAGTGTTGCCATTTGCTTACATATCAGAAACAATATACGCCTCTGATCGCTAGCTGATGGCACTTTTGGAGAAATCCAAAAAGAAGTGACATTACCGTCGTCTGTCTGGTCGCCCAAAGGGATGGTTTCGAAAGTCATCGGCGTTCTCCAGTGGCTCCTGAAAGGTATAACGGCGTTATTTTCCATCACTTACTGGAAAGCCTCGTTTCCATACCTCTTAATACGACGTAATCGTGTTCTCCGGGATTCCTGCCTAAACATGTTTAACATGGAACAGTAGCAAACAAGAGATGTAAATGAATAATGGCAAGTAGGTGCAAGGACTGTCAACTCACGCGTTCCACGCCGCTCACGCGAAATAATGGCGCGCCCGCGTGTGCGCGCAATAGATAAACGACTAAAGAACGGCAACCAATAAAATGCCAGATTGCTTAAGCGAGGTGGCCAATTACGTGACAGACATGCATATCTCGGTAAATCGTTATTCACGTGTATCTACTCGATATCTATTGCTACTAGGGTATCTTAAGTACCAACAGTAAGACGACTATAGTCGTCTTTCTGTTGGTACTTTGCCGGTTGTATAGCTAGTATTCAGATTATCCACGACGCCCTTTGGCGTACTTCCTCCTATTTCTGAGGTAGACTACCAGAAGTCACGTGTTTTATATCAGACGTCCCACAAGATGGTAGTCCAACAGAAGTAATGTGAAATCGGAGAGCACATTATCGGTTTGCACAGTGGGCTATTTCCAATTATTAGCATGCAGATGCTGAGGGAATTTTTAGGTGCACTTACGACTGTGAAGTAGAGATGGAGGTGGAGACTTCCACCGTGGGAGGGATCAAACCTTCGTGCACCTACACTAGAAGGGACGCACCACGCATCATTCACGAACTCGGTCTAACCGCCTACATCCAATCAAACAAGGCGTTCTTTGCCGATCCTGTCTGGTCGTGAATACAAGGGATCCTATCAGTATCAGGAACATACGCCCAACTCTCACTACTTTGCCCCAGCGATTCAGACGTGCAGTAGTTAGGAACGTAGTAAGCACACGAGATGGAGAGGACGAACTAATATGGTTGTAAGAGTCAGAACGAGAATACCCTATAACAGGGCTTTATTCATCTTACAATTGACGTACTGGGACTAAAAAGAGAAATAGAAAAGTAGTAGGTAAGGTGGAATTTAGCCTGGGGCTTATGTTAGCATGACATTCGCCCCGGCCAACAAATGGAAGAATCTAGATGTCAAAAATCGATAGGAAAAAGTTTGTATGGGACAAAGTTCAGGCGTCTCTGTTACGAAGACAGTATGGGTGAACACGTTGTTGTTGTTGGGTTAATGTTTCAAGGTTATGCATACGGACATCGTCAGCGTTCGGATGGCTAACAGGTGTTGCATCATTCTGTCCGTCAGTTGAGACGGTGCTACTTTCTTGCTCGGTAATGGGTGGGTGGTCAGGGGAAAGTGGGGAGAGGTTTTCTGGTACCGGCGTGACCGTCTCCTGGTGGCAACCACCAACGTCCTTTTCACCGCTCGGAGCAAGCTGTCGAACAGATACCGTTTCTTCTCTGCCATTACTGAATCGTATATGGGCATATTGGGGGTTACACTGGAGTAGTTCCACCTCCTCAACAAGCGGATCAAACTTAGACTGTTGATTGCTTTTCTTCAGCAGAACTCTGCCAGGAGAGGTAAGCCACATGGGGAGAGTAGTGCCAGTAGTTGACCTCCTGTTGTAGACAAATATTCTCTCATGAGGCGTTGCATTAGTGGCGGTACACAAAAGTGATCTAATTGAGTGTAAAGCGTCGAGTAAGACGGATTCCCAGTGTGTGACGGGCAAATTTTGTGATTTCAGAGCAAGCAAGATGGTCCTCCATAAAGTTTGGTTCAGACGTTCAACCTGTCGATTTCCTTGGGGATTGTATGGAGTTGTTCTACTTGTCGCCACTCCCTTACTGCGAGGGAATTGCTGAACATCATCCGACATAAATGACGATCCCCGGTCGGTGTGTATGTACGAAGGAGTGCCGAAAATGGAGAAGAGCTGACACAAACATTTAATGACAGTTCCGGCAGTCTGATCAGGACAGGCAAACGCAAACGGGAAACGAGAATATTCATCAATAATCGTCAGCAGATAGCGGTTGTGAGTAGCCGACGGAAGAGGACCTTTGAAGTCGAGTGACAATCGTTCGAACGGCTGAGTGGCTTTGATGAGTTGGCCTTTAATGAAACGAGGATTGACTTTGCAGCAGGCCTGACATTTAGCAACGACGTTACGAATCTCTTCCATTGTAAAGCGGAGATTTTGACCTTGAACGAAGGGCGAAAGCCGAGGGACACTAGGGTGGCAAAGTGACTCATGCAGTTCTTTTAGATCGACACTGGTTAGTAGGACGCAACAGCAGTTACGGGATAGCGTGTCCGTTGCTCGATTTCCCTTACCAGGTCAGTAGACAATGTCAAATTTGAATGATGACAGCCGCAACCTCCAGCGTTCGATCTTATCATTTTCGAATTTCGCTTTTTGCTGATTTTCGAAGATAAAGACAATAGAACGCTGATTCTTGATGAGTCTAAAGTGATTACAGTGAATGAAGTGCTTCCATTTGCGTATGGATTCCACTATGGCGTGTGCTTCTTTCTCTATAGCTGAATGACGTCACTCATTTGCAACAAGGCTACATGAAAAGAGCGCTACTGGTCGGCCGTTCTGATTCAGTGTGGCAGTGATTGCGAAGTCTGAGGCATCAGTCTCGACAACTAATGGGGATCGTACTAAACAGTGACCATTGTGGCTTTCGCAAGTTCCTCCTTAAGAGCGCCAAATGCCTCCATTACCTTCAATGGTAATGGA